CACAGAATTGAGCGAATGCAGGAGAAATTTATGCATCATATTCATCTCAAATTGTATAGAGACACAACTGTGATATAACTACGAAGAAATGTGTCAAAGGCTAAATATGTCATCACTTCAAGAAAGAAGAAGTATTCATGACCTACTCCTTTTTAAAGTTCTCAACTCCCTTGTTGACTGTCCCTATTTCACTTCCAGCATCGGTTTATACAGGGTGTATCAAGTATGAGTACAAATATTTTAACATGAGTTAATATGGCCCATTAGGCAATTCAAACCACGTGACACTCAAGATGGCGTGGCGGCCACACATGGGCCAAAAAAACACAAAAAAATATCTAGTTTCTGCCCGATTTAATAGTTTAGGTACCTAGTCAACAAATATCGTATTAAATAATCAAAATCAAAGTTATAAGCAAAACTCTAAGCAAAATAATTTAAAATACACATAAAAACAAGCTTGCTTGGCTGCCACGCCATATTGAATTTTCCTTTTAGGCAGATGGATTTAAATTGCCTAATTTCAAGCTAAAACTGTCCGATTAACCATGGGTCAATTGTTAGTATTTTCGGAGTTATCGCAGAATTTAAATTTAGAAAAATGTTAACAACGTGACAACATTGTACAGGTATTATCTCTGCTAGGATATAAATGTAACGTGTTTATTTATTTCCATCTGTTTACGTTTTGGTTTGTTATTGGCTTTCAAATTATGTAAATAATACTTTGCATTTTTATCACTTTTCGAGTAAAAATAAAAAATGTGCCGTTTTATTGAAGCTGGGTTCGGCTATTCAGCGCGGAGTTGGAGTGGAGTGAACAGAGCTAATGGACTCACCCCTAATACGGTAAAAAACAATACCCGAACTTTAACCCGAACGGCTGGAGTGCGAATGGAGTCACTCGGAGTGTACGGAAGTGAGCAAGCCGAACCCACCTTAAGTTGTGAATTGAACTCAATGACATTTTTGCACTGAACATTCATTCAAGAGAAAAATTGAATAATACTTACTCAGCTACTTCTCAAATCCTTATTATGAAAATATTAATTTTTGTTAAATGGTTCTCAAAACACTAAAATCAACACGCAGATTTTGCACACTCACAACTCACACTTCCTGCATCACGCAATCTTTTTAAAACGGGCACAATGTTCTTTCATCAGGTGGGTGCTTTTTTTTTTTGGGAAATCTGTCCCTAGTTTCCCTGTAAATTCTGGCGGCTAAATGAGCATTTTGGAACGATTCTGCCTAAACCAGTATCTGCATATTCGATGTTTCTGAACATTTTATTTTCAAAAAAAAAAAATTGAATTACGCGCGTTTCCCAATTGAACAAGACAAATCAAGAATCAATTGACCTTTTGTTTAGACGCCATATTGCGGTGCGCGAACATAGTTGCCAAAAGAAGAAAACAAAAATTGTTAGCGGGCTGCCAACATCAAAAACCCAGAAGTCATTTATTTTAATTTGTCAAAAAAAAATGAATGTGTCACATGAACTAATCTACGACAACCCTTTACTCCAAGTTGTGACGTATTCGATAACAAAAGTATGAACCCTCGAGAAACGAACCTTAGATATTTTATTATTTCTATTCTGCCCAATACAAGCTAAAATTGATGGCTTTTCATTTCAAAAACATTCGTAATAGGCGGCAAATTTGAAGTTTAGATATAATTTATTCAGTAACTTTTGTTTTTAATGTTGACAGTACGCTAGTAATTTTTTTTTTCTACTTTTGGCAACCATGTTCGCGCACCGCAATATGGCGTCCAAACAAAAGGTCAATTTCACCGATAAATTGACCGGTTCAATAAACCGGTAGCTGTCGAAAAATTCCGGTAAAAGTTATGTAAAAGTCCGGTGACATGATTTTTCTGATGCATTTTGGAACGTTTTGGTGTGTTAAAGACGTTAAAGTTTGGTTATGACGGTTGTGTTGCAACAATTTAACTAACAACTGCCGATAGTGCCCATTCTAATGGCTCATTCAAAGCATTGGATGTACCATTGTCACCAAAAGTATCTGGGACAAAAATAATGCATAATAATCTCCTGGACTAATTGTACTGTCATTCATTTCAATGCATTTAATTCATGGTTTGACAAATATTTGACAATAATATTTATATAATAGTACAGGAGCTAATATGATGCTGTCCCTTTTGGTGACGATGGTACGTCAAAAAAAAAAAATGTCGAAAAATCTCCAAGCGAAAAAACCGACAAAAATTCCCGTTGGATCCGGTACCTCACCGGTTTCAAACAGCTGATCATTCCAATCACTTTTGGAACGGACGATTTGGTTCAACCGGTAAAAAGTCGGTACATTTTAGAACAGTTTGGTGAATAACTATTATACCGGTATCGCACCGGTTCAGAAACCGGTGAATTTTGGAAAGTGCCCAATGTAAAATCACGTCAAACCCGGTAAAAACCGCGGGGCGTTTTTCAACCCAGTCCCTGAGTGGGGTAATTTGGGCGCACGTAAACTCTCGATTTCTGAACGATTCCAGCGTAGCGCTCCGAGTAAGCACCTGTTAATTTATGAACGGCTTAGAGTAATTCTAGGGTCACTCTCACACCAAGAGTACTATTTCTAAACGTAACCCTGGTCCCTGGTGTGCACTCGGTGTGACGCCCAGACTGATTTCGAACGCACTCTTGATATTATGGCATGCTAAATGGATAAATCGAGTAGCCGCTGGAGTACATTTAGAAATGGAATGTGAAGGTAGAGTAGTTTTTTGTCAGAGTGTTCAGACGTCATCACTTGGATTGCACTGTAGGTGCGCTATTTCTGAACGTATTGGGGAGTTCCGGTGAATGTCAACGTCGAACCCGGTAAAAACCGCATGGCATTGTTCAACCCAGTCCGAGTGGGGTAATTTTGGCGCATACTTGACATGTCGATTCTCGATTTTTGAATGAACGATTTAGGCCCAGTTGTACAGACTTGGTTCAAAACAGAGTTCAGCTGAACTCGACTGGTACTTGAACTTCCCCATTTGAAATGCATTGCTGTCAAAATTGATAGAATTTGATTAATAGCTGACAGCAATGTATTTTAAATGGGAAAGCTCAAATACCAGTCTAGTTCAACTTGAACTTTGTTTTGAACCGAGATTGTACAACTGGGCCTTAGAGTTACTCTAGGGTCACTCTCACACCCAGAGTGCTCTTTCTATTGTTATTTTGATTAAATTTGTAATTTTTTGATTCATGCTTGGCTAACCATTGACTATAACGTTTACTATTATTGGGCAATTTCCAAATTTCACTGATAAATTGACCGGTGAAATGAACCGGTAGCTGTCCAAATATTTCAATAAAAGTTAGATGAATCCGGTTACATTTTATCTGATTTTTCTGATGTATTTTGGAATGATTTGGTTTTTTGAAAAAGTTTGGTTGTGTTGTTTGGAATGTATGGTGGTGTGTGGTGTTCTGGGGTGCCGGTTTGGTGAGTAACTATTTAACCGGTATCGCACCGGTTCAGAAACCGGTGCATTTTGGAAAGTGCCCATCCGGTCAGCAGAATTTTTAAAATAGTAGGCAATTTTTCGCGAGGATTAACCAAGCATACTCGATTATGCTCAGATTTTATGTGTCAATTGAGTCATTCTCCCCTAACTCCCTCACCATCAAATTCTGGGATACTCGAGGATCAAAAACACTCAACTTCTCCTGTGAGAACAGGCCGAAAATCACCTTCTCTACATTTAAGATCGATGAAAAAATTAACTCGGACTGAATCGCAAGCATTCCATCGAGGTCTAAGGGTGACGTCATCACTATAAGCTGTTGATAGTGACGTCACTCGCAGGCCCAGAATTAGATGGGGAGGGAGTTAGAGGAGTATGACACAATTGACACAACATCTAAGCATTATCCAATTGACCTTTTGTTTGGACGCCATATTGCGGTGCGCGAACATAGCTGCCAACAGTAGAAAAAAAAGTTACTAGCGTTCTGTCAACTTGAAAATCCAAAGTTAGTGAATAAATTACATTTAAAATTTAAATTTGCCGCCTATTACGAATATTTTTGGAAAGAAAAGCCATCAATTTTAGCTTGTTTTGGGCAGAATAGAAATAATAAAATATTTAGTTGACAGCCCGCTAGTAATTTTTGGTTTTCTTGTTTTGGCAACTATGTTCGCGCACCGCAATATGGCGTCCAAACAAAAGGTCAATTTATTCAGCTCCACCAAGGTTCAACCTTCAACTACCTATTCTTTATTGTGCAGTGTTGCCAGATGTTCAGATACCCATTTACAAGTGAAAGTATGTTGTTTTTTCAATTTTTTGTTATTGTTGTTGACTAAAAACGCATAATAATTTAATAATTGGATAAACTAAATTTTTCTACATCGCATAATGATTAAAATTTTCTTCACCTTTAAAATATCCGTTGAGAAATGAAATGAAAAAACTTCAAAGGACTTCTTCTTAAAAATGGTTGAGTTTGGACCCCATGTTGTATAAACTTTTTTTGTTCAAAATGGGCCATATTTTTGTAGTCAAACCTGATACACCCTGTACCTTTTATTACGAGAAACATTCCAACCTTCTATTAACCATATCACCGCACCAACTACTGCCAAAATGCCTTTGTCTCCACATCCGTGTTTCTCGCAAACCAACATCCGCTCCTTGATTTTTTCTGTCCACTTCAACCTTTTATTAGAGAGCACCTGTCACAGTTGAAGCTTGCTAGATCGCAACTTTATCTGTTAACAGTGTAGCCTAAGTTAATTCTTATTTCTTAATTTTTAAAACTTTTTATAAAAATAGTTTATTTACATACACTCAGGTATTTTGGAATATTATTATTATCCTTTCTTTCACTTCTTGTATAGAATCTCAATTCTTGTGAGTATGATACGCAGTTTTAAATGGTTTCTCAACTTTTGAGGAATGGCGGCAAAAATTCTCAAAAACCAATTAAATTCTGCTTAAGAAAATCTTCTAAAATGTTTTTTTTTTTGTTTCAGATAAATTCAAAAGTGATACCGGAAAAGAAGTGTATTTGTATTAAGTTAGTGAACATTTATTTAATGAGTGACAGTGGCGATTCGTGGAATAATTAGGAAGTTATCCGGCATGCATTATTGGCGCTGACGTTGGTAAGTAAAGTTTTGCCACAGGGGATGTTTTTGTTCCCAATAGGGTCACCAGTCACCAAAGAAAACAAAACTAAAGAATATTCAAGTTAGGTATAGTAAAATTAGGTAAAGCTCAATTAGGTACTTGATCAATAATAATAACTATTGATTAAGATACAAGAGAATTAAAAATCTAGCTTTGAGAAACGGTAATCTCCTTTAATGGAGCCTAAAACTTAAAACAGCCAATCATAATGCATAATAATGACAGTTTGGGTTCTACCCTAAACCTAGAGCTAGGAAAATTCATTTTTTTTTATTTTTTAATTTGGTTCGTACTGGCACTATTGTCTATTGCAAATTCTCACGTACAAGACTCGATTTTAAGCGTAAACACACCATTCGATACATTGACCTAAATTATTCTCTCTTTATTTCTAAGAAATTCAATTATTTGTTCCTAAATGTTTGTATAGGTAGTCTGGGAATGGCAAACAGATGACGTCATCAGGTGGTTTAGATCGATATTTGCATTATGATCAGGCATACAAATGACGTCATAAAAGTTATCAGACAACCTCTAGAAACCTTGTATTTTTTCGATCGATTTGCTTGATTATTGGGGTCAACAAAAATTTGGTTTCGACTCTAGTTAGAAAATAATTACAATTATAGTTTTTTTTTCTAGGGGCCCTGAAGAGTTTGCAATGTGGTAGGCGGGGTCGGGGGGTTGCAGCCCCCCTCTCGACCTGGCGCCGCCATCACGGATCACCACGGCGACCGACACAGGTAAATAATTTTTATTTGGGGAAATTTTCAACCATGTGGCAATGTTGCTCGCCATGCCTTGACTAATGGCGATTGATTGCATTTAGTGTCACTTTTCTTGACAGTTGACGTTTATAGCATTGTATATATCTGTCAGCTGTCACTGAGTGCAATCAAATCGAAATCGCCATTGCTTTAATTGAATCGAAATTGGAAATTATTTCAATATTTTGTATTTACGATGTTATTTGCATAAACCTAATTGACAATTTTATAAGCTTGTTATTTACATTTTATCGATTATAAAAACGGAAATTGTTTTATGAAATTTAAATAAACATGAAAATATTTGAAATTAAATTTCCCAAACTGCTGCTGCATAACAATATAATCGGAAATGTAATGTATTATTTCGGGCAATATTTGAATATTTAATTTCCAAAGTTAATCTGGAGGTTTTGTACCAAAATCCATCAAAAAATTATTTCCAATAGATATTAGTTGTAACAATACAGTGATTGATTATAACAAATTTTAATTTGAATTCTGATTAATTGTATCTCAATTTCCATTTCTCGAAAAAGTGAGAAAACACAGATTAATAAAATGTGTATCGTATAATCAAAAATTATCTTTAACTATATATTTCTTCAAGGTTTATTAGACACTAATTCAGTTAGCTCCTTGCCAACTCGAATAAATCTAAAGAGTTAACGATCTAGTCGGCATCCGTTCCGCTCATTGTCCCTAGAAGAAAACCTCAAACGAAATCCGAAAAGCATCTGTGATCACGCGACAGACATCCATCAAGCTGACCTAAAAAAAAAAAACAAAAAAACGTGTCTCTTTTACGTTTTTCGCACTCAAATTAGTGTGATTTGAATCAAGAAAAAATTGATTGTTTCCAGGCAATATTTACCTTCTCGTCTGGGTCCAGAATTAATTTGTAATGCTCCGAAATAAAACTCTGGCATACAGTCGGCCCGACCTCGACAAGGGGCGTGCGCGTTGGATACGCTATTGATCCAGAATCGTCGTCTCTTCTCTCGGAAAAGGCTTTTGCTATGCTGTTTTTGTGCCGAAACAAAAATACCTGTATTCTGAGAGATGTACGATTCGTTACTTGACAAGATGGGGATTTAATTGGACGGCAATAATTCGACATTTGAGTTTGATGTTGAAGACGGTTTGGTTGAATCAATTACGATCGTGTTGATAGAAATTATGTTATAATTAAAAGTGTGTCATGTGATAATGAATTTTGAACTTTTCGAGTAGGTACCTACTCCCCAATCAAACGTATCAGAAATTACCAGAAACGTCAATAAAAGTTAGCTTGAATTCTCATTAGAACAAACTTCAGAATATTTCCAAATAACTAGGAGCCTCAGTCAAACCCAATCTGCAGTATTGCCAGAGGTGGTACAATCGTACCAAATTTGGTACCTACTGCCTACAATCTAATGTCGATGTTCTAATTAATTTGTATTTCTGTATCTAAATTCAATATAACAATAATTTCTGATTCGTAAATAGATAGCGTCACCTATGTAACACTCGTTTTATGGTTCTTGGTTGTACGTAGTTTGTGTTTAGTTTAGGATTTCACTTTTCATCAAATCAAAACAAAACAAAACATGCTTTTGATCTACTGGATCAAAAATATTCCTCATTTTCAGGAAACGCATGCGCATTATGGGCTGGGGTGACCATACGTACAGTATTTCGCCGTATTGTACAGCATTTTGAAAGTCTGTCCAGCATTTGATTCAGTAATTGCAGGTTGGACTTTGTGACTTTTGCGTTATTTTTGGTATTGAATCTTGTAAATTCCAGAATAATAATTAAATGGTTGGAAGTTATGTGTTTCTTATTTTTTTTTAAATGCTATTGAAACAAGCTATAAAGTTGACAAAATTTGCCCAAAAAAACTTATTTTGGTCGTGGCACTGTGTTTTTTTTTTGCATTTAGTGCTTTCTCCACTCACCTTTCCCAACATTTTAGATGTGTACAGCATTCGTACAAAAAAAGTAGTGATGAGCGATATATCACGAACTGTGATTTAATCACTGATATCTAAAAATCACGGATCACGACCGCTACCAAAGTTCTATAAAAAGCGTGACGTGATCACGACAACGTAGCAAACTATTTAATTTCTTGTCTATTAGAGTATCTAACCTTATCCACATAAACCAGCGCAGTGTAGGCGGGCCTTAAGTTCCGGCTAAGGAGGCCCTTACCAGTTTAACGGTACTTTTGTTATCAATTTTTTAAACAAAAAACAAGTTTCCAAAACCTTATTTGGGAAATTTATTGTTTTATAATCCTTATTATTTAATTATTCAATCAGGTCTTATAGTTATTTATACACCAAGTGACTTAAATGAATGTTTATTCATGAGAAGAAAGTTTAACCCACGAGCCCTAGCAAGTGGGTTAATTTTCTTCGAATGAATAAACATTTTAACTCACGTGATGTATACAAAATTTTATCCCATTTTGTGAAAATTTAGAAAATAAAGTACAAGGAAAAATACCGAGAGTGAGTTAAAAATATTTTAAATCACTGAGGGGTCAGAGTTTTAGTTGGACAGAGTGACTTAAAATGCTGAGAGTGAGTTAAAATGTTTTTAAATCACTGAGGTGATAAACGTCTACTTACCTTTATTGTTATGCGTTCAATAATGTCATTTTTAAACGTCAAAATGGGATAAATTTAATTAAACCATTTAAAATGTCATTAATGTCATGCGGCAACGTCGCTTTTAATCGGTCATTTTGCAGTGACGTGTTTACGTTTTTATCCAGTTTTTCCTTGGATTTTCCATTTTTCCAGGGCGTTCTAAGTCAGAAAAATTGGTTTAAAGTACGAGGCTTTGAGTTTTTTTCATTTTGTGCAAAAAATGTCCAGTTTTCCAATAGGGTAAGTGACAAAAACTCAAGTCTCATCAAGTAGGTGCTGGAATGTTTTTTTTAGAGATTTTTCTTTGGATTTTCCGCTTTTCCAAAGCTTCTTCAATTAGGAAAACCGATTTTAAATATCAGGCTTCAAGTTTTTTCCATTTTATACCAAAAATTTCCAGTTTTCCAATGGGGTAAGTGACTAAAACTTAAGTTTCATCAAGTAGGCTCTGGAATGTCCTTTTCAGAGGTTTTTTTTTTAAATTTTCCGCTTTTCCAGGGCTTTTTCGGTCGGGAAACCCGATTTTAAGTACGAGGCTTTGTTTTCTGTTTCTTCATTTTCTAGCACAAATTTATATTTTTAAATGCAATAATTAGGAAAATCCCATTTAAATGCTTTTTCAGGAAGTTTTGATGTGGCAACATCGTTTGTAGCCAACTTCAATCATGTAAATCTTGTAATAAATGTCATTTGTCAATATGGAAAGTCGACCATTTTGAGTGTTTGTATCCATGTTTTTCCTCGAAATTTCCGCTTTTCCAGGCCGTTTTAAAACGGAAAAAATGGTTTAAAGTATGAGGCTTTGAGTTTCCTTCATTTTGTGCCAAAAATTTTCAGTTTTCCAATGGGGTAAGTAACAAAAACTCAAATTTCATCAAGTAGGCTTTGGAATGTCCTTTTCAAAGGATTTTCTTTGGATTTTCTGCTTTTACAGGGCTTTTTGCATCGGGAAAATCGACTTTAAGTACGAGGCTTTGAGTTTTCTTCATTTTGTGCCAAAAATTTCCAGTTTTTCAATGGGGTAAGTGACAAAAACCCAAGTTTCATCAAGTAGGTTTTGGAATGTCTTTTTCAGAGGTTTTTCTTTGGATTTTCCGCTTTTCCAGGCCGGAAAACCCGATTTAAAGTACGAGGCTTTGAATTTCCTTCATTTTCAGCCAAAAATTTTCAGTTTTAAATTAAAATTAAGAACGCAAAAAAAAAATTAGTAAAAAACAACTTTTTAGGGAATTTATATATATTATATATATATATATATATTTTTCAACTTTACTCGGGTTCCAATCCAGTAGGTCTTGGAATGTTATATCTAAAGTGACATTTGAAAAAAAAGTATGGTCACCCCCACCCTATTATAGGCTGGTACATTTTTACTGAATTTGGTACAATTTGTCTTTAATTTTGATACAAAAAATTTTTGCTCTCTGGCAACACTGCCAATTCGATAAAATTGCAAACTGTTCCAGAAACATTTTTGAAGATGTTAACTGGCTCCTGTGAGACTTTAAACCAATCAGAAATCACCAAAAACGTCAATGAGAGCCAACGAGAACAATTTTCAAAATGATCGTGAAACATTTCTTCTAAAGATGCTAATTAATTTTGCACGGCTTTGAATCCCCATTGGAACAAACTCCAAAAAATCAGAATGTTTCAAAATAGCAAGGATTCTCAATCAAACCCAATCTGATGATATGGCAAACTGTTACAGACAACTTTTTGAAGATTTTAACTGGCTCCTGTGAGACTTGAAACACTTGAAACCAATCAGAAATTACCAAAAACGTCAATGAGAGCCAACGAGAACAAATTCAAGTTGATCCTGATACCAGTGTTGCCAGATAGCAAAAATTTTTTGTATCAAAATTAAAGACAAATTCAGTAAAAATGTACCAGCCTATAATAGGGTGGGGGTGACCATACTTTTTTCTCAAATGTCACTTTAGATATAACATTCCAAGACCTACTGGATTGGAACCTGAGTAAAGTTGGCTACAAAACAGTGTTGCCACCTGAAAAAATATATATATATATATATATATATATATATATATATATATATATATATATATATATATATATATATATATATATATATATATATATATATATATATATATATATATATATATATTTATCCTGCTATCAATCCCGCCTCCGCTAATGGAACATTTGCATTTAATCTTGCCTCCGGCGTAATCCTGCCTCTGTATATGGAGGCAGGATTGTAAAACGTGTAAATCGTCTCTATATCGCTTCCCCCTTCTACGAGACAAATGTGGGCTGGAGTCATGATTGATGCCAAACATGCCTATTTCGTATATCAGTAGTTTG